AGTCAAGTCGTGGCAAAACGATCACGCAACTCACCTCGAGCTGTAGAACACTAATCAATCCTGAGGCACGGCACGATGCAACACAGTTCCCACCGTTGACGATCCCCGTAGCTGAGGTTCTTCTACGGCTATGTTCACATCACTCACTTCGAAAGTCCTGGCGTCCGTAGTTGCCAGCGGGCAGCGTTCCCGCCGGCACCTGGACGCTCGTCGGTGGAGACCCTCAGTACTTGAGATCTCCAACCGTCGCCGAACGAAGGGTCAAAACGGCAGCGGCGCTCTGGAAGCCTGGAATTGTTTCCTTGGCCTTCCTGAGCCTGCCGGACCTTCGTACGAGTCCCTGTTTGTGTTCCTGGGGAAGGGACGCGGAAAGGGACCACTTTTCGCATGGGGTCGCTCATTCGCGCGGCGCCAAATTCACCGGTCGGCCCGGAGGGAACAGCTTCTCACACCTCGGGAGCAGATGCGAGCCAAGGGAAAAGAGAGGCGTTCGGCCCAGAACTTACCCACGACCGGGAGACGATCTATTCGACTTCGTCGATGGCCATTCGAAGGATCGAAACCGAAGAAACCGACCGAATCAAAGCGGATTCCCATTGTTGACTGTGGCGCCCTCGGCGAGGTGGCCTGAAAACTCCATCGATCGCGTAAAGCCCCCGACTGAGCTGAAGCACCGCAAGGAGCTCTGAGAGTACTCGGAGGAGAGTAAGCGAGGCATCCAGCGAGTAGATAGGCTGGTGGATTCGCGGCTGCTTGGTTCCTGTCTGTGTGAGTCCAGGAGTCAGAGGGGGCGGGGGAGCGTTTTGACTAGGAGGGGGCAGGGGGCTCTCGCAGGAAAAATTGAACACTCAGACGACGCGGAACTTAGGGAGAGGGAGGCGAACGCTTTTTCAAGTTCGAGATTTCTCGCTTACGGCACATGCGCCCCTTCAGACCAACCGCTGGACTAAATAATGGAGTCGGATGACAGATATAGAATCTCCGCCGAACAAGGAGCCGCTGTTTCGGTCCTGGGAGTCGATGCCTCTCTTTCTGATTTCTTCCAAAGCTTGTTGCACACAATACCTTGTCTTATATCTCATTATACCGGTCTCCTGCTCTCGATCTCCGCAATCGCAAACTCAATCCTTTCTCTTCTGGGAATCCATCCGGGAGCCATCGGAGAGGGAAGCGGATTTTTTTCCGAAATCCCCAATCGGGTGAGGATTCTCCAACTCGCGAGCAACCTCGCGATGCCCGTCCTCTCCTAGCCCGAGATATGTAGATTGATACAGCATCAGGCCGGCTGCGGCATTGACACAGGTCGTGGCGTGCGCGATTCCATTCTCGGATAGAGCCTCGATGAGGAATTACCACTCAAGTCTACTCGGGCGATCCGTGACTCGATGGGCTAGGCGTTGTGGGTATTTGGAAATTGGAGTTTTCGCCTGGCGGGGGAACTTCGAAAGGCTCAAGGAGAGTTCCGCGGGATAGAGGAGTCCGCCTCTCTTGTTTTCCTTTTCTCTACTAGCACTTCGACGACTACCTCAACACCGATCCGAGTGAGCGACATGTCTTTCGAGGTCTTATCGGTACTTTCTGATTGCTCATTCGATCGATTCTTTCCGACTCCTTCGTTCCCCGAGCAAGTAAGGCTCGAGTGTGCGGGAATACGTCCTTTGAACTTATTGACCGAGTTGCGTGGGACGCCTCTTTGCAACGACTGCGACTTGAGGGACGAGCGGCTGTGGCTCCAATTAAAACGACAGCGGTTGGATGCGTTTCTGGCTCTGGTCCAGAGGACAGCTGGCTCATTTCAGCGTTGACGAAGTACATCCTCCTGTTAATCCAGAGTTCTGCTCCATTATCGTGGGAATGAAACGCATAGAATGACCCTAATCTAAAGCTGAATCCATGCGGAATCATCAATGCCGCAGGCCACATTCTTTGAGGAATCTGTCGAAGCCGGAAAGCGACGCTCCATAGGAGCTCGATCTCAGTTCGAGGAACCCCGAGAAGCACTTTACCAAGCGTCGTAGAGACTACAAAACCAGGACCTCAAATCGAGAGTGGACGTATCCATAATCCCAGAAGTTCCAGGAGATGGAATCGAGAAACGTGGTCGAGCATTATTTTGCTGCCGAGGACCTCTTCCGAATAAACCGGCGACCTGTGTACTTCGGCGTGTGCTCATTCTTGCTAAAGACCATACTCTCACTTTCCGAGACAAGGTGACGCGGTTTTTCCTCACCAGGAGCGGAAAGTTTCCTTGTCACGAGCCATTATCGAATTTCGTCCACTGTGAGTTCTTAGAGACACAAGTCGTCGCGTGGCGGAACAGCTAAGATCAATTTCGATAATCGATGCCAGGCCAAGTTTGCCGCCGCAGCCCAGCAGGCGCTGAAATCTAGCTCGAAAACGTTGAGAAAAATGCGAATTCCACGCAGGGCCTGAAGCGGAACATTCGGGCATGCCTCCTGGGCGCTGATGGAGAACGACGATGACTTTATCAGATCTCCAAGGTCAAATATCGTACATGAATGTGTTCCGACCACGACGGCTTGGACTTTTCGCTGAAAAATTGTTCTGGCTATGCTCCAACTGGAGAGAGGGAGTTCCCACAGTATACCAAGAATGACCCACGTCCTCAAAGTTTCCTCATTCACAGCTACTACAGAGGGACTATGTATCGTCTGTTTAATCAGAGAACTCGGCCACTTCGCACTCAGCCAAATAGGAGCTCACGGTCGTAGAAGGAGAGTAGCTCCTTCTGTCTGAAGTAGCTCCTTCGTCTCATGAGTCCGGGGAGCTGGTTGGAGAGGTCGCCGAGGAGCTCAAAGAGGAAGATGAATGAGGACTTGTGTAAACGGTTGGGGCTCGAATCACGGCGTAATTCGGGAAGACCCGAAGAGAGGAGAATCGATCATGAGCTCTCGCTGCTAGGTTCCCACCGATCGAGACAGTGTGCACTTTCCTCACGTGAATGATGCTTGGATGTCCCTTCGGCGGCGAGAATCGAATTTCGTCCTGTGCGAACGGTGAGCCAAGACACGGAAGTACGACCACGCGTCGCGGAATGCATCTGACGAATCGCTCTTGGTCAGACCATCGCGGGGAGGAGTTCGAAGCGAACAAGGTGGCTGGTAGTCACGCCGGTCCGAACTCGAAAAATCGTCGAGTCGGAACTCCCCCTCTCTTCCTGGCACGGGGGCGGGCTCTCCATCTACCCTTTCGGTGTACGTTTGCCCATTGTGAGGCAACTTGGAATCGGATATAGATGCTCTTTCGGCTAGCCCGAGTCCGATGTTCGGTCTCTTAGAATCTCATCAGACGACGGACTAGTTTGAGAGCCTCACTCCTCTCGTATCGAAAACTCGACAATACGTACGGTATCGAGGGCACTCGAGGGAAACTCTCGGGCGAAAACATGTGATCATACTTAGAGCCTTCCGACGTCGTTACAGAAGTACGTATGTTCACGCCATTGTTCGCTTGGGAACGGTTCGTCGGAAGGATACAACAGAGCTCGTAGGAAGGAGCGCAAGTATACAACTTCATTTCGAGGAAATGCGCTTTGTAGACTCAAGAGCCTCGTCGGCGAAAAACGGATCATCCGAGTTGAAACCCTGCGAGCGATAGAAGAATGAAAAGTTTCGCAAACATGTTTCCAACCGGAGTTTCCAGACAGAGCTGAAAGCATATTGTCCCGCATGGGGAATGCAGAGCAAATGGATGATGCTGTCTGGCGCCGACCTTTCATGATCTAGGAATCCGAACGATATTCGGCGCGGGTATCACCAGTATGGAAATCGTTCAAACCGCTTCGATTTTCAGAAAATTCCACAAAGAAGCTGTATCCTTCAAAAACCCATGATTACGAGGAGCGGACTTTCCCAAATCCGCCATGGTGACGAAATCATCCACCGGACGGGGAGCAGAACTCTTTTCCGTCGTGTAAATGTAATTCAGTCACGATTTCGGTCTGTCATCGGCCGTCAGGATGGGATTCCGTATGGTTCGATATTTCGACATACAGAGCGACACGGTCCCTGGAGCTTTTCCTGCTTCTGACGTGTGATGCTCATTCAGAAATTCACACGACAGCAGAAATCTCGGCAGAAGAAAACGTCGCTCCGGAAAAAAATCAGGAACGTTTTCTTCCGTTTTCCAATAGCGCCCGCATCTGAATGAGAGGAACTGATTAAGTTGAATAAGATGCTATTGCCTCATCGCCCTTTACCGGTCGTCACAGAGGGAGGGTGCGAGAGCATCTCCGTACGTACATAAGACGTAAACAGTCCCAGCACAAGATTTGGTCCGTATAGAATCCGGGCGCCGATAGAAGTCATCCGGATGCGAATGAGCACCGACCAGTCGCGATGTTACCCCCCTATCTCGTGAGCGGTGTCTTGGCTCGTCTGGCAGTCTGTGAATGATTTGTGTAGACAGTGTGCTCGGACTCCTTCGGTGCGATGGGCATCTACAAATTCAACTCGGTGGATGCCCTCGATTTGCAGCCGAAGACGATTCTCAACGTGAAGCCTCGCGCTTATGACCATCAACATCGCCATGTGCGTTTCTATAGCGTCGTTGAGAATAATTATGATCACATGTTTCTTGCCCGGCACGGGGGCGCATCTTGGGGTCCTTGATCATTATGACGCGGCTGCTTGGGGCCTCCCGCTCGGCGCGCGATATTTCTCGACTTGAGCTCGCATTCAAGCGATATTCGTCTTAATCCAATGGAATCTCTCGCGTAGAGAGCGTCCGGTCTCTAATCTCCCGAACCGAGAAGGAGTTAATCTTGGTTTCAAGGATTTGTCGCTGCTAAGCGAGAAGAAATGATTTTCGGTCGGTGACAGTTCGATTCTCGGAAACCAGCATTTATCGGTACAGTGTGTGTTCATGCCTGAGGAGGAAGGAACCAGGACCCGTCTTTTGTCCCGAGCAGAGTCGAGATGTCTCGAGTGGGGTCTGCTGTCAGAATCGTTGGGACGTTCGACCAAGACGAGAATATAGTGGTGTTGAATTCCAAAAATCGAGCGTCGGATGCTGTAGACGTAAGCCGGCTGTACTTTCCGTTCAATTGTCCTGTGCTCCGGAAAGAAGAGCCACGGCTCGACCATGGTAGCGGCTCATTATTCTCCAACACCGAAATCGAGATGTCTCGTTTTTCATTTTAGAATGGTCGCCCCAGCTGGCCCTTGGATGACGATTCGAGAAAAGTCGCAAAATCCATGCGGACGAGAAGGGTCTCACTGTCGGCTCTTCAAGATATCCAGTGAGTAGCAACAATTTCCCTCGTCACTTGTGGTTCTCGACTTCTGAGCATCTGAGTCCTGGATTATCCGGAACGGCGTTGTCTTTCTCGCAGAAAACCGCGACCAGCTCCCGATTTCACCTCGACCCATGGATCTCCACTTCCTTCTCGATACCGGAAGAAAACCAGTCTCTCAATTCAGGCGATCATCGAGCGGAGGTCCCGACAGTTTGAGAGCTTCGAAATGGTATCTGTCGTGCCAATGTGCAAGTAGCTCCCTCTAGCTCTCTATGCAAGAATATCATGGCCGGAATCACACTCCATATGCAGGCGGGCATCTCTCGTCTTCTGGTCGCAGTTGGTGGGGTCTCTTCCGTGTCTGGTGTCGCACACCGCTTCCGCGATGATCGAGAAACGATGCATATCGCTGACGACCTGAACGGTCCATAATCCCGATTGGATCCTTCATTGTACAGGGCCGTTTCTGCTCGCTGGTTCACAAGGGTTCGGGTCTCCATCGACTCGAGCTTTATCTCGGTGCTCACTCAGTTTGAGAGATTTACTGCCAAAGGAATGCCTTACTCCTTTCCCGACCCGATATCTATCGCTCCCAGAGTTTTGCCTTCACAAACATTCGAATTATATCGAATCGAGCGGATCGAGAGAAGATGTCGAGCATTCTGACCCTCGACCCGATGCCCGCCCCGAGGTTCCTCAAGGCTCGTATCAGAGCCAAAAGATTGCGGATTTCGTCTTCGGCGTCGTGGAGGGTTGATATTGCACCCTGATACGCATACCTTCAGTCAGATGAACTTTAATGTCGCTTTCCTACGTCTGAACCTTCTGATGGGGGGCACTTTTTCACACTCTGTGTTCTGATGACTCATTTCAGGGAGACATGACGCTTTCCAGCGCCGATATAGGAGATACCCCCTTATCTGAGGCTCCCGGGAGTGCTTTTCCGTTTCCCCCCGTTCCTTCTGCGCCGAATGCGCTCGGAATTCGGGACGCCAACTCCTTTGATTCGGTTTCCACCTTCGGCAGGATAGAAAGCCAGGATCGCTCTACTTCGACGAGTCGAGTGGACTCCCAAATGAGGAGCAAAACCAAGTGAGCAAAACATTGCAGAGCAGCTAAACTTTCTGCACCATGCCCGTTTGGAAACTAGCCTCCTGACAACCGGCATTTGCCCTCTGTGAGGGAGTGCTCCTCGTCGTTTACAGAAATCCCGATATTCCTTCATTGAAGATTTCGCTCGCATGCGGTGAAACCACTTGACTAGCGAGAATATCTTCGGGAGGATAACCGTGGTGCGCGGAGAAAGCTCCCGAATGGCTTCGCTTCGGGACTGCAGTCTTGAGTGATCTCCTTCTCCGTTCCAGAGAGAATCTTACGTCGCTGATGAGCATCATCTATGCGTTTTTCGTTGTTTCCCTCGGGGCAATTTTTCCGCTGCTCCCTTCAGTCAACCTGAACCACTTAGCGGATAATGTGAGTTTTTCTGACTTGGTCCAGTAGTCGCTGCGAGACGTCGCGAGAGTCGTTCACTGAGTCGTCTCTTCCGTTTCCAGATTTATTCCATTCTCACCTCTGTGATCGGTATTAGTTGGTTGTTGTTCCTACAAATCGACGTCGCGCTGTACAAACGGAGGATTGTCAAAAGGATCAAAGAGAAACTGAAGGCGATCGACAAGCAAACGGATGATATTCCAACTTCGACTGATGCCATCCTACAAGCTCTGGAAAAGCAAGACTGGGACGAAGACGGTCAGTCACGGAAGACGTGTAGTTTCTCAATCAAAAATCATTCTCGCAGCGAGGATAGGTCGCTTCGTTCGCCTTTCGTAATCTCTCATCGAGTAAGAACCAGCTTCGAGGGCGGATGCACGCCGGAGGAGCACGTCGCTTCAAAGCGCTTGCGAAAGCGGAAGAGATTACAGCAACGGAACGACCTTGAGCAGAGTTTTTATTCCACATCATTCGCTTAATTCAGAACGAAGTTCGGATCTCGAACTCATTCGAAGGGAGAGGCGTAGAGCAAGCATCCTGGGATCTCAATGATGGACGAAACTCAAATCTGAGTTCATGCCTTTCGCTTCCAGACGGGAAACCCTTGTACAGATTCCAAAGGGGAAGGCATGCGGGTTCTTTCTTCCTCAAAATCGGAATGACCGTCTTCTGCTTCGGGCATCTCATTTACGAAGGACTGGTCCTCGCGAAGGTCCGTCTCGTCGGTGACCTACGGAGTTCAACATGCTCCGAGAAGTTCCCTGATTTATTGTCTCGCTTGATGGAGACAAAATCGATGATCGATTCTCTGAGACCTAATTAAACAGTTTTTCGAGCAGACATTGATGACAGCCAGTCTGACCGTGTCCAGGATCCATCTTTTCTTGGCCGTGCACATCCTTAGACCAACTTATAGTTTCTACCAGCTCTTCGTGGTCTTCAAATATTCTCATGTGAGATCAATTCGCTTGGTACTCGATCGGAATCGTGCCTCTTCCAGCAGACCGGAAGGTGGAACTAGGATTTCTCGAAATTATTCGCAGGTGATTATAAACCATTATCCATCGGTCGCTCGCTTCGGACTCATGCACATGATTTCGACCTCCTTCTCATCCTGGTTGCGGAGTATAATCCTAGATGCCGAGGCGTCTCATGTAGAGGAGCATCCGGAAGATTGGCTCAACGAAACGAGTAACTTCACCACAGACGTCATGATGGTCTCAAATTCGGGTGTGAGTTCCTCTATACGGGCATCGGGAATGCTCATTGTGCCTGTCGCTATGTTGAACAGTCCTGCGCCCTCGCGGGCAGTACTCTTCCCCATGCTGATGTCAGATAATCGGAACTTCGGATATTGATCGGTGATCTCATTGCAGGGCTCGGGACCCTTCGGCCAGTTCCATCTGATCAATTATCTCTATCCGTTCACCATCGAGTTCAGCATCATAATCGCGGGAGTTTGGTTCATAATGTGGCTGAACATAGGCGACGGTCATCATCACAAAGCCAGTGAAACCCATCTGGAGCCCACCGTAAGTGCGAATACATTTCGGGTCTCGGGGCCATGACTTCTCCTGCTCGGTGACGGGCGGGTTTCGCACAATCTTCACGTCCACGAAAACACAGGAATATCTCTTCCAATCCGAGCTCCCAGGTTGAGAATTCAACAAACTTCGATTGAGAACATTTGTACACATTCATCGAATACACATTGGTGCGCCTTCAGCCCTGACTTCATTTTCGCCCCTTAATGAGAGGAATCCATCTCCCAAACGAGCTTTGTGAGCGCCCCGATATTGTGCTATCACTCGTACCAGGAATCATCAGGTGTCCGCGATTAGGTATTCACCGCAAAGAGATCATTGGGCTTAGCACGAAGTCCATTTGGTGTCGGAGGCTCGCGGACAATTCACGTATCTGTCTGATCGACGATCCGACGTATAGAACCCACGTCTGCCCGGAGTGTTTCGGCAGATTCCGCACCTCATCCTGGAATCTGGAATGGGACCGATTTACTGTAAGCGGAGGAGAAGTCATGTTTCCGGACCGATGGGTTCCGCCCCCTTTCGAGGGCGCAGATCGAGAATCGCGCGGGATAAATACTCCGATCGAGCCAGGGCAACATCGCTTTCGACGAGGATTTGAGCGAAGAAACCCAATGATCGACATTCCCGCACCCACTTGATGCTATTGCTGAGATCGAAAACGATAACGTCGGCTTCAAAGAGCAGACCTCTCCTTCGAGTGATGAGGAAAGAGTTGTGAAAAACACGACTGTACGCGCTTTCGTTCTTCATCCGACTTTCTGCTGACGGGTTCAAATTCCACAACAGAACGATCCCCTTATCTCTGGAAACGGAATTTGAGACGTTGAGGAGAATCGAATTCAACGCTGACCTTCTTCGGCAGCCTTCGTCGCTTGCTCGAGGCTAGCGAGAATCAGCCGGGGGGAACAGATTCTCCCTCTCTCTTGGGACAGGAGAAAAACCCTTACTTTCGATAGATGAGGATGTGAGAGACGAAGATCAGTAAGAGCGTGGCCGCGGTCAGCACGATCAGCGGGGCGATGGATGAGCGCACATTCTTCGATTCCAATTTTATCATGAGCTCCTTTTTGTCGCTGGTCTCCATCTTGCTCCACTGCTGCTATTTCGCCATCCGGATTTTCGAAAGATCGTTCAGGGCTCCAAAGTCGACGGGCGAACTGAAATTCAAGCGTGAGCATAAGCACGGGGTCTCTCTCGGTGCCGGCCGCGATTATCGGGCAGCAGTCAATAAAGGTACGATGAATCGTCTCACGGAAAGACCGTCGTTCGAGTCTGATCGAAATGGAGTTGCGGTCGATTCGTCACTCGGAGCTCGATCTCGAGAACGAAAAATCCAGGAAGGCACTAGTGGAATCAGTTTTATGCGAAAACTTCCCAGAATACGCGAGGCACTCATCTGTCGCCCCAGCTCCGCGGTGGGAGGCGGTTGACTGTTTTGACGCGCAGTCCGTTGACTTCACGCACGGGTTCTGCCCAGTGAAGGCGAGCCGAACGACTTACGTAGAGCCTTCCTCTCTTTCTCACTCAACGTTTGCTCTCATAAGTGCTTGCTCTGTCAATGGCCAACGCTTTCTTTCAAACCTACCCTCGCATCACGTCACGGTGCATGAGAGGAGATTCTATGGGAAAGTGGATTGTTCAGAGAGGCGATTCCCTTGGCCGTGCTTTCCTGGTTGTTGAAATGACTCATTCTCGTAGATGTACCATGTTTTATTTGTTCCTCCCCAATTATCGGACGAGTTCCGATCGAGCTGCGCGAAATCGCCTGGGAGCACCGAAACGGACCGATCGAGAGCACAGAGAGATCTGGAGCGGGCGACTGATTCGGGGTCATGTAATCGAATCGATGAATGTTGGTTTGCGACACTATATCTGACTTCGATGTAAACACTCAGATGGCGGCACTCTGAGCGGCTCTCGGGAAACGATACCGGGAATCATGCTTGACTGAACTTTGTTTCCCTTCGCATCATCCTTCCGAAAGAAGATAGATCCAGGCGCACAGCTATCAGATTGATGAAGCTTCGGAGTGGAAGAGCGATGTTCGCGCTTCACCTGAGGACTGCAGCGGTCCGTGAGGCGGATTGAAGGGAAGACCGCTGGCGCTTCCCGAGGGAAGACAATGAAGGGGGAGTCGTTCTTCGAAGGAGAAGAGGGCGCATCACCGCGTTAGCGAGAAGCGGCCTGAAGAGCGTTGGCTCGAAAGAAGCTCGTCACAAAATCATCACCGCTATGGGGCCATAGGGAAGCGACGGGAAGCCTCGAGTCAGAACAAAGAGACACAATGCCTCGCATTTGGCCAGTGGACAACTGAAATACCGTCTAGAGGAGCCCGAAAACCGCTCCGCACCGATCGAGGTGGAGCTCTGACTACCCACTTGACGGAATTCGTCTCGCTGTCTTTTTCGCTCACTGCATGTTCCGCTAAGGGAAAAGTCTTGCGGACCTGCGATCGCGGGGGCCGAGAAGTTCGGGTCGAACCGTCGTATTATCGCGGGAGTCGGAGATTCAATTGTCTATTCGAATCTGGGTCGAGTGTAACAGGAATTAACTTCCGGGACACGCAGCGTGGGGGGACACAAAGCTCAGATACAGCACCAGCCAGGGCGCGTATGAGATTGGGGACGAACGGCAACAGAAAAAAACGATGCGGGGGTCGAAAAGAGTTGGGCGAAAAGTGACCTCTCCTCCAGATACTTACCTGGCAAAGCCCCACAGAGAACACCGGGTAGCGATAACTCAAGTTGACACGTGAGCTATCAAGCTACGATGCATAAGAGAAGTTCCGACATCCACTCATATTCCCCCCTCAGAACTAGACTGAGCAAGCGACCTCATAGGAGAGCTCGGGACCGCGCAGCTTGAAGTGACGCGGCAAGGCTCACGGGGACTCATGGAGCGAATGGCAGGTGAAGTCGCTCGAGGAGGCATATCATCGGAAGACATGAAAGAATAATAATCGAACAGAGCGATCGAAACCGCCGAGATTGTCTCACGCGAGCGCCGTACCCCGACAAACAGCACAATGGACGGTCGGCGCGGCGGGTAAACTAAAAAACTTATTCGGGCTGGACCACACAGCCAAGGTTTGACGTCCTGGGTACTGTTATTCACATTGCTCCCGAGGTCGGATCCATAGAGCGAATGTACCCCGGACGATCAAGGCCGGGTAGCTGCATATTTTTCCGGCAGCAGGGATCGAACCCACACCGCCTCGATGACCCGTCGGCAAATAGCAGTCGAGGGCGGGTAAACTGGAACGACGGAGCCGGCGGATAGCTGTTTCGATTGATTCTTCTCCAGAGTCCCAATCGCCTCGAAATTCTTGCAGGGATTGGCCGTCGATATATCGATGCTCCCCTCGAGCAGCTTCCGCGACTCCTCAGTCCAAATCCATGCAGATGGAGTGCCGAGCCATTTTACATGCTCGGGAAACTTTGTATTCAGAAAGAATCGGAAGGAATCAGGGCTTTCTCTCCATTTTCCAGCTGCAAGAGAACGAAGGCGGGGATCTGGACCTGACTTATCGGTCGCAACTAGTCATATCGGCGGATTGTCATTCGGCCAACAAGGGTATCTTCGCCGGACTAGGAGCGATGTTGCTGTCCATGGTGACAGTCATTGTTTTCTTCGTCCTCACTGAAGCCGGCAAGAACAGACAACTCTACCGGGATCTAGCTCTGGTGATATACACTGCTCAGGTGGGTTCCCTCTTCCACATTCAGTATTCAGAGCGCTTTCTTGAAGTTAAACCTTATCAGTGTCGTCTGGAGCATCTTCTGCGGATCGATGCGACGAAAATACTTGACGTCCGGTGTTTCCTGGGTAGCTCTACACCCAAAGCGATAACAATATCCGACGGCTCCCATTGACATTTCGTTATCATTCGGGATTTCGGAAAGATTTTCCTCGAAAAGCGTGATTCTACCAAGATCCGAAATCGCGACCAAGGGAGAAATCCCGCCGCTCGCGGGTGATTTTGAATTTGCGCGCGCCGGTATATGGAGGAGCTTTCAGGGAGAGGACATTTATTGCAAAACAACACTGGACAGTTCCACCACTGATCCCTCTCTCGGCAAGAGATTTCTATTGATAGTTCGCAGTGTCGAAATTGCCACCAGCCCATCCTTGCAGTTGGGTCGTTCTTCGTTTCGTGTTCCTCGGGTGAATCGTTCGACCATGGTCGAAGTCACGGGCCCGAGCTAAAGGCGGAATAGTTGCGACGACGACCGCTCTCACTTCGCTCCCGGCCAGCTGAGAGACACGTCATTAGATATCGTCGAGCAAACCTATTCGGGACAAACGTCATCAGAGGCACGGACAAGGGAGCTGAGGAAAAGCAGCGCGTGCTCCCAAATCAATTCTTCAACAGCCTGCAGAACCCACAAAATCGAACGATGGCCCAAGTTCTCGTGGATCAATACTTCCTCAATGTGCCAGTGGTGACACGAACTTATGTTGCCGCCTGTGTTTTGACAACGCTCGCGGTTGAACTCAAAGTTTTTAGTCCATTGACTCTGTACTTCAATCCGACGTTGATACTACGAGGTCAGGTGTGGCGACTCTTCACAACCTTCACCTACTTCGGTTCGCTGGGCTTGAATTTCTTCTTCAACATGATATTCACCGTGAGGTACTGTCGGATGTTGGAAGAAGGTTCGTTCTTGGGGCGTACGGCCGACTTCGTTTGGATGTTCATTCTTGGAGGAGCTTGCACGGCGATCGCAGGTCTCTTTGTACACATATTGTTCCTCGGTCAGGCGTTCACTACGATGCTGGTGTATGTTGGGCTCGGAGGAACCCCCATTTCCGACTGAACTTCTTCGGCCTGATCAACTTTCAAGCGCCTTATCTACCACTAGTTCTCTTCTCATTCGGCCTACTCCTAAAATAACGCTTGGGTGGTCGATCTAATCGGCATCAGCGTGGGACACACCTATTACTTCCTCGAAGATGTTTTCCCTCGGCAGCCGAACGGCTTCAAAGTCATCCACACCCCACAATGGCTGAAGTTACTGTTCGATAATACGAACGAAGATACCGAGGAAGATACTCCGCTCGATGATGTGACGAGGAATCAACAGCCCGGGGGAGCACAGTGGGGTGATATGTAGCGTCCGGATCCGCATCAACCGAGTGCGTCACGCTCGGAAATCGCATCAAATCAACTTCTGATTTGTTTCTTCCGAGAAGAGCCCTCGGAAGATTTAGCTTTCCTCTAAGTTCCAAAACGTGAGAGTATTCTGCTCAAACCAAATTCGTATGGAGACAGAGGAGTAGAGAAGATTGTGGGTAGTTCAAAGCTTTCAGATTTCATTTCGATGGAACAAGGGAACGGGAAGATATCTCGCGATTCGAACCCGAGTCCATGCCGCGAGGAGTGACGAATCGATCCCGTTCATCGATGGGATCTCTCAAGAGCAACACGGGAGAAAGATCACTCCTCGTAACTCCTGAACCGGAGGGAAAAGATCGAATTGCGGGAGCATGGGGAAAAATTTACTAAAACTTACATGTTTGCGTAAATTAAATGGCTCATTGATTAATTGATGAAGCGACTACAGCTCAGTGCCAGCGAAATGAGGCATCGGGCTGACCGAAACCTTGCAATGTAAATATCTAGGATAAGAACATACAAAGTTTTCCCACCGGGTATGTCTGATGGCTGGGCACGAACCCAAACTGTTAATACTGATACAGTGATGAAGATATATTTATCGTGATGAGTGAGGATTTAATAAAGTCGATCGAAATAGAGTCGTTTTTACACAGAGCCATCGTGCGTTTCCTGCGGGGCGCGGAAGCGTGGCAGGGGAGAAGGCGTGGTATATGGTTGGATCTGATGAGATTGGTTGCAATTTACGACGACTCTCGCGATGATGGACATGGGTCCCGCTCCCATACTTCATAAATTCTTCTCTTGCGCCTGACGAGCGACATGGTCAGCTTGTTATCCCTCATTCCATCCGTCATTGAATTGAGAAGCGATGAGGGAACTCGCCGACCACGTCTCGCAAGCGGTCTTAGAACGCGGTTGTCGAACCCCAATATCGGCGGAATCCGATATGTCTTGAATTCGATTCCAAATGCGCGAGGGAAAATGCGAATCCGATGCCCAATGTGAAGCAGAGGCGCTCGGGATCGATCCGCGAAACTAGTTCTCTACCGTCGAGTGGAATTATTGAATCATCATCTGATCAGCTGGTCTGAAATTCTATTCAAATGCAATTTTTCGGCAGGAAGTAACGCTCGCAGGAGTGGCATTGATCGCTGTCACATTGGCTTTCCTCAAGACATCGTCGCTGTCCTTCAACCCTGCACCGATCACATTTCTCGACGATTGTCTGCTAGTCATACCGATTCCGTTCTTCTTTGTGAACACAGCGTTGAACGTTATCGCGGAGATCTTTCACGCAAGCGTAAGTAAGATAAGAGGGAAAACCTCGTTCTCAGCTTCCCAAGCATTAAAGAGATGACTGACTGAGTGGTCGAGCGACAAGGGCGTCGACCGTCCCGCGCGCGAATCGTGCAACCTCCGTGGGGTTTCCCGTCAGCGAGGTTCGGAGCTGGTCCAAGGCAGAGTCCCCGGGCGGTAGCCTGAATCCATATCCTCTATACTTTTCAAAAATAAAATTCCCTCCATCTCCGAGATCTGTCCGCCGTGGAGAAGCCGGGGACTCTCGACTTCGGCGGAGGCGAAATCATCACCTCCAGCAGGGAGGAGTCGGCTATGAACGCATCGAGAGGGACGCTTCTGACGAGCGGAAAGTTGAAGGATGTAGAAGTTTTTCACGCATCTAACTCCATATTTCAGGGCTCCGGGTATCGGGCTGGGGGTTCTGCTCCTACAACTCCTCCAAGTCCTCCTGCAGACGCCTATGCTCATTGATGGTCTCCGTCGATCGAGTTTCTCGCCGAAGCAAAGGTCTGATAATGAATTTCAGCTTCTCGTTCGGGAAATTCTCATAATAAAAGGAAGGAGGTCGAAGGAACGAGTGCTGTTCCAGGTATAAGAAACCGGGACGGGAACTGGTAACTTTTTTGATCATCATCAACCTGGCTATGTGGGTTGTCTTCACATTCGAACAAAAGAAAGCAGATACCCTCGTGGCTGCACCGAAGTTTTTCGGCGAACGTTGGCTCTACATCGGGCACACAACTGTGCCCCTGATGCTATTTTACAGGTGGGTACGAAGGTTCAGGAATCGATTCTTGGATCCTCCAGACCCCGTGAGCTCCGAGCCT